GAATTATCTATTTTTTGCAGTCCTCATGACTTTGATTCAACACATTTAGATTAAATCACTTTGCAAAATCTACTGGTAATTTCCATAAAAAAGCAATTTGTTGGCGTTGAAGAGATGACACTGTATCCCAGGTGCCCAAATGGAAGTCTACCTTTCCTTTTTATTATTATTATTGTGATTTAAACAAAAAGTGTATATATACCTATAGAGTAGCATGAAGTCCCATTAAATACAATGGCATAATAAAATGGTGTCCCTTCTGCAAAACGATGAAATCAAGGTTTGCTTTTTGGAATTTATATATTTTAAAAAATATTTTCAAGGTTGAATCAATGGATAAAGAATCTGTGGATAAAGAGGTCTGGCTGTACTCTGTCACTCTCTCACTGCCTCTTTGACCTTAGCTTGGCAAGACCTAGCTCTCCCCCAAAAGTGGGAAAAGAAAGGGAAACTTATCTGGAAGGAAAGCACCAGGGAATCTCCTGCAACTTCCCAGTGCATTGCTAAATCTACTAAGCCTTGGTTCCATATTCACAATTACTTCTTAAGGTGTATCTATACTGTAGAAGTAATGCAATTTGACACCACTTTAAGTGCTGTTGCTCCATCCTATAGAATCCTGGGATTTATAGTTTTACTCATTCTTTCGCCTTCTCTGCACTCAAAGAATGCTGGCTCCTCACAAAACTGCAAATCCCAGGATTCTGCAGGATGGAGCCATGGCAGTTAAAGCAGTGCCAAACTGCATTAATTCTGCAATGTGGGTTTCTCTTGCTATATCGACAATGCGCAAGAACAGTAACCAAGGCTTTAATAAAAAATTACAAATTAGTGCTACATCATCATCATTATTATTATTATTATTATTATTATTATTATTATTATTATTATTATTATTATTATTATTATTATTTGCCCTGTAGAGATTACCGATTTGATGGTGAACCAGACTCCCGAACATCTCAATAAATTGGAAGGGGAAAACGTCACCATCGAGTGTAACTTCAGGACCGTCAGCAATCTCAGCACCATGTATGTCCGGTGGTGGAAAAACACGACGGAGTTGAACAACGAAACAGGCTCATACACAATAATTGAGGATCTGGAAAAGGGCTTTACCTCTCTCAGGATCATGAATGCTGATAAGAGTGATTCAGGAGTTTACAAATGTGAAGTGGGGAGCAGCTTAAGGAATCGGTCAGGATCAGGGGATGGATCTCATCTTGTTGTTACTGGTGAGTGGTGATAGTTTCCCAATTATTACAGGATGAGAAGAGAAAGTTTGCAAAATATATCCCATTGATTAGGAAAACCCAGAATGCAATGATAGTAGTACATCATAGTACCCAGCTTGTTGGGGGGCAACTAGCTTACAGATTGTACACCGTTTAGAGAGTGCTAAATTCACTGATAAGTGGTATAGAAATGTACATGCTATTACTATTGCTACATCATGTGCCTCCCAAGGATGCGCAATCATAGATGATATGGGTCTGTGTTGCAGCAAGGATCCTTGGCGAAGAATCCCACCTCCTTTCTCCATAGCCCCTGTACTTTTCCTAGTCTTCGGTGAAAAAGCAACTTAAGAGAGAAAGCATTGTGCAAAAAAAACAACAACACCCAAACAGAGAAGATTTGAATCGTCTTCGTCGTCCAGGGTAACCTTGGGCAGGTCACACTCTCTCAGCCTCAGAGGATGGCATGTGGCAGTGCCCTTTTGAAGAAACTTGTCAAGAAAACCCCATGATAGGTGCCCATAAGTGGAAAATGACTTTAAGGCACACATTATGATTATTATTATTGTGGCAGGGGTCCTGATTCTACTTGTTTGCAGCCTCACTTTGTCGGGAAGGGACTAGAAACATCCTCCACCTAAATGCCCCTCCACCTAAACAGACCTCCATCTCTCACTATAGCTGCTGCCTGGTAAAATAGGTTTGTGCCACAATCGCAGCTACATAGTGTTAGTGAAGACGGAGCAGTTATGAACCCGTAAACTCTGGGTTAGGACTCCATAATTGCAATACTAGAGACCGCCCTGGATTTTTAGCTTGATCTTGTTTTAGTCTTGCTATTAGGCACCTTGTTGCATGGGATACAAATGAAATTTGTTGTTGTTGCTAACCTTCCTATCTTTGATCTTGGCTCATGGCAACCCTGTGGATGAGACATCTCCAAAACTGCCCATCTTCTACTACTTTTCTTAGTTCTTGCAGATGCATTCATCTTGCATCCATCTTGCAGATTCATACCCGCGACCATCCATTTAGCATGTGGTCTTCCTCTCTTTCTTCTTCCTTCCACCTTTCCAAGCATTATGGTCCTTTCTAATGAGTCGCATCTTCTCATGATGTGGCCAAAGTATGACAACCTCAGCTTTATCATCTTGGCTTCCAGGGAGATTTCCAGCTTAATCTGTTCAAGGACCCATTTATTTCTTTTCAATTTAATGTATTTAAATTAAATACATGGACTTATTTTTCAAACACAGAATTGCACTTACAGTCCCTTTAGTTTTGATCAATGTTTCGGCAAACATTGCCAAATGTTTTTAGCAGCCCCTGTGGTCCCTAGATGGTCCTAGCAGCAGAACTTGCCCTCCCAGATCCATTGAAGCTGACCAAATCTGAAACAGAGCTTCTTTTCCAACTTGATTTAGGGTTTGCTTTTCACTTTCTTTTGTTTGTTAAGCAGAACATGAAAAACAGTTGGATCCAGTGATCACAAGGGAAAATCCTGGAAATGGATTTGGACTTGGAGCAGGAGCTGGAGCTGGAGCTGGAATCATTCTCCTTCTCTCGCTGCTGTTAGGCATCTTGGTGTGGATATACAAGAAGAAGCAGAGAGCCAAAGGTAAGTCTCTTTCTCTCACAACAGACAGGAGCAGGGAGGATCCAAGGTGTTTCGCTGCCTGAGGCTCCATCTGCACTGCAGATTTCCAACTTGTGGCAGCCCTAAGGCGAATCTATCATGGGGTTTTCTTGGCAAGGTTTATTCAGAGGAGGTTTGCCATTGCCTTCCCCGAGGCTGAGAGAGTGTGACATGCCCAAGGCCACCGAGTGGCTTTCATGGCAGAGGTGGAATTCAAACCCTGGTCTCCAGAGTTGTAGTCCAGCATTCAAACCACTACACCACACTGGAGAGCTTTAAAAAACCTGTTATCCTAAATTGCACACTACATATTTAATGTCGCATGTATTCAGCCCTTGGATTCTCAGGAATGCCAATGCCAGGCTAGGCCTCAGAGTCCACACAAGATAGTATGTAAGGAACTTATGTAAATGGGGTGGATCATCATTGCTCCCAGTATTGCTGGGCTCATTGGCCCCATTTAAATTCCCCAAGGCTCATGAAAGAATAACTACGTTTTCATTTCTACTTTCTTCCAATTCTGTAGGCACTCCAGGATTGAGATCAGATACAGAGACTGTTCCAACCAAGGAAGTCAAAAAGGTGAGATGGATGGCTGCAACTCAATAAATAGGTTGTTTGAGCTCCTGCTGCCTCCCAAAAATTTCTTTCTCAAAGCAGGCGGCATCCCAACCAAAAGGTGTTCAAGGCGGTATGGGGCAGAGCAATGGGAAATTTTTCTCATTGAGTCCCATGAATGGGAGAGTGTTGACGTTCTCATTTCCCAGTGCAGCACCTTAGAAGCCTTTCAGCCAGAGCTCTGTCTGGTTTCAGTCCTAAGCATGAGTCCCAAAAGTTACATTCAGTCCTAAGCATGAGTCCCAAAAGTTACAAGATTGTAAGGCCAGCTTACGGTAGCATAGAGTCATAGAGTTGGAAGAGACCTCCAAGGAGCCATTCAGTCTAACCCACTTCTGCCATGCAAGAAGACACAATCCAAGCATTCCCAAGAGATGACCATCCAGCCTCTGTTTAAAGACCTCCAAAGAAGGAGACTCCAACACACTCCAAGTATTTTCCACTGTCAAACAGCTCTTACTGTCAGGATGTTCTTCCTAATATTTAGGTGGAATCTCTTTTCCTGTAGCTTTCATCCATTGCTCTGGGCCCTATTCTCTGGAGCAGCAGAAAACAAGCTTGCTCCATCCTCAATATGACATCCTTTCAAATATTTAAGCAGGGCTATCCTATCACCTCTAAACCTTCTCTTCTCCAGCTAAGCATACCCAGCAGCTCCCTCATAGGGCTTTATGGTTTCCAGACCCTTCACCATTTTAGTCACCCTCCTCTGGATGCGCTCCAGGGTGCGTTCACAAATACGGAGCATAAATGTCATAAATACTGAGCATAAATGTTGTCTTTTTCTTGCTTGCAGCATCTGCCTGCAACCAACCAAGTGAGCGACGTGACGTATGTTGACCTCAACTTCCACAGAAGGGAAGTGCAACCAGCGACTGAAGTGATTTATGCAGAAGTGAGAAGAGGGTCGAAACATTAAGGTGGCAACAAAAGGCAGCCTAAGCCAAAACCAAACCTCCCTGTTTGAAGAGATGGACAAGTCGGTGGCCTGTCCCCTCCCATCCATAATGTGCCTTCCACTTTCTTTCGAGGAATGGAGGAACTTCTACCACCTCTGTCTCCTCTCTCTGTTTTGTTGGGCAGCCCAGGCTTCTACATTTGCCTTCCTCAACCTAGTGTTTTGGACTAGAGCTCCCATTATTCTTGGCCATAGGCTGTGCTGGCTCTGGCTGATGACCGTTGCAGTCAAAAACTATTTAATAGTACAGTGTTGGAGATGGCTACACCAAACTGACGCCTGATTTTGAAGATGCTGCTCTTGCTGAAACCATGACTGCCCCTTGGAATTGCAGAATCATAGAGTTGGAGGAGACCTCCAAAGGCCATCCAATGCAACCCCATCTGCCATGCAGGAACTCACAATCAAAGCACCCCAAGAGATGGCCATCCAGCCTCTGTTTGAAAACCTCCAAAGAAGGAGACTCCACCATTCTCCAAAGGAGAATCATTTATTGCTGAATGCCATCACGAAGTTCTTCCTAATGTTTAGGTGGAATCTCTTTTCCTGGAGCTTGAATCCATTGCTCTGTGACCTATTCTCTGGAGCAGCAGAAAACAAGCTTGCTCCAACCTCAGTATGGCACCCCTTCAAATATAGAAACAGGGCTATCAGGTCACCTCTTAACCTTCCCTTCCTCAGGCTAAACATACTCAACTCCCTCAGCTGCTCCTTATAGGACTTTATGGTTTCCAAGCCTTCCCCCATTTTGGTTGCCCTCCTCTGTAATAATAATAATAATAATAAAATTTATTTGTATACCACCCAATGGTTTCCCAATCCGGGCGGTTGTCCACCTCCTTCTTGCATTGTAGTGCCAAAACTGGACACAGTATTCCAGGTGAGGTCAATCTAGACACTATACTTGTGTCGACGCACTTCCCGTTTAGGCTTTCTTCTTCAGCTTAAAACAGATGTAGGAAGAAGGATGTGGTTGCACAGTGGAGAAGCTATAGATACTCCCATCCTTTCCTATTCTGGGGCTAAATAGAATAATAATAATAATAATAATAATAATAATAATAATAATAATAATAATAATAATAATAATAATAATAATAATAATAATAATAATAATAATAAAGTTTATTTGTATCCCGCCCATTGGTAATCCAATCCGGGCGGCTTACAGTTAAAACATACAGTTCACAAATAGAAGCAGGTTGGGCGAATGGGAAACAGCATAGGAGAGACACAATATTTATTTTTGTAGTTCTGCAGAGCTACTCTCCCAATACTGATTTTCTCCTAGCTGCTTGCAACTAAAACTGGACACATCAGGCAATCCAGTCACAATTCTCCCGCAACTTGTGTGCGTCAGGACTTAGGTTAGCTAATGGTTCAGCCTCAGTTTATCTCCCACCCATCTGCAACATGGAGATCACAGCAGTGGCCTTCCTTGCAGGGTTGTTGTAAGGATTATTGTCCGAGATAATAAGGAGAAAGAGAGGGGAGAACAAAAAAAAGGAGGGGGGATATGGCAGCACCTTTAAGCCTAACTGGTTTTTATTTTAGCATGAGCTTTCATGGATATAAACCCACTTCTTTGGATGCAGTACTGAGTGGTATTAAGGCCTCAGGTATAAAGCATATTTATGGAGTTGTGAAATGGAGTGTGATAGGAGGCAAAATGATGCAAATCACATCCCTTGCTCTAAATTATTAAAGGGTTGGGTGAGGTGAGAAAGATCTTTCAGATCTTTATGGTCATCAGTTCATGAGCGAAAGCAATAAATCTGTTTAGCAAAAGTCTGTTTCCCAGGGTTCAAAACTCTCTCTTTTGTTATATGAGCAAGGAGTTTTGCATTAATACATGCAATGTGCCATGAAGCCATTGTCTTTGTTCATATCTCTGCTAATGGATAGGAATTTGTGATATAATTCAAAGATATAGCCATGTTAGTCTGTAGAATCAGTAGATAGCAAGATCTTGTAGCGCCTTTGAGACTAAGGTGCTACAAGATCTCTCTGCAAACTGAATATAATTCAGTTCAGCTCTTTCTCTTTCTAGTCTCCCTTTGAAAAGTCCTTTGTTGAAAGACCATGACCTGAACTGAGCAGAAGTCAACTTTTGGCTGCAATTTGGGGAGGTTCACAGCAAGTTGGAAGCATGTTAAGGTATGTTTCTTGCTAAAACAAACACACATCTGAGCAGCTGCAGCCCAAAGTTGACTTCTGCTCAATTCTGGTTGTGATGTTCACACAACTTTAGGCAAATTTAGGTAAAAGGGAAACTTTCCAAGATCTAACTACCTGTCACATGAATATATAGGTAAAAAGAGCCAGGCTGCAGCCCATCGTAGACTTTGGTTACATATACACACATGCTTCTAAGCTGTTTTTCCGCCCAGGACTTGAAAGCAACAAAAGTATTAATCCTCTTGGTGTTCTCATGCAATAAACTCCTATGTTTCATGGAAAGTGGAGGAAATAAGCACAAGTAACCAAAACATTCCTCAATCACTATATTTGAATGGCTATATCCAGGAATGTAATGACTGTTTTGAACATAGAGTAAATCAAAAATAAAATTTGAGGTATTCGGCCAGGCGGGGATCCTTGCAGAGTTTCTCTTCCAAAGCCATGTACTTCAGTGGGGCTTTCTCTTTGTGCCTGGGGAGAAGAGAAAAAGAAGAGGGATCAAGACCAGCAAGGAAGACTTAGAAGAACTGGGGAAGCATGCGGAGCCTTCCATGTTAGTGGGGTGATGAAGTTATTCTAGGTTCCAGCTCTCCAAAGTGCTGAAATGATGTAGGGGAGAGGCTTCGGTGCTTCAGATCACTCCTTTAAAGTTCATACTAAAACCCAGAGTGGATTCACTGCCCCACTAATATGGATGCCACTAGCTGCTTGTGACCAAAGGAGATTAAGGGGGGCATCTTGATAGCCAGGGATGCCATATGTCATAGGTAGCTGGGCCATGATGAAGCCCTACTTTTATTCCTATTGTTCAGATGATCAGCTGAGCTGCAAAGATCATTATCTCCTTGTAATCTTCTTTTACCTCCACTATCTAAGCCAGCAATTCCCAAAGTCTGGTCCTCCAGGTGTTTTGGACTTCAGCTCCCAGAAGCCCCAGCCATTTTGGCCAGCAGTTAGGAATTCTGGGAGGTGAAGTCCAAAATATGTGGAGTACTGAAGTTTGAGAACCACTGATCTAAAGTCATCCTGATTCAGAACCTGGAGGGATAAAGCAAACCTTAATCTCAGCTCCACCATCTCACCAACCCAGAGTAAGGCAAGGTAAGGTCTTCTTCGCAGCCCAGCCTTATACTAAAAGCACTTGGGAAATGAGGGAAATGCAGGCCTCGCTGTCCAAAAGCAAGTGATCGGTGAAAGGGCTCCAAATTGCAAGCAAAGGCTGCAACCCAAAAACCCCTTCTCCATCCCAACCAGGGTGGAGAGATCTATTTCCCATACTTGCTGAGACGGAGCTCCAGGATGCGAATGCGGAACATGGCATCGGAGCAATAGTTCAGGTAGGCATCCTCGTCCTCTAAGGTCATGTTGAGTTGGTTCTGCTGGTACCATTGCTGCTTCTTCTGAAGTTCCTGGGTTTCCTGTTGCAAAGGAAGATAAATTTGGGGGACTATAGGGAGAGTAGAAAGCCAGTGTGGCATAAAGGTTTGAATGCTGGACCATGAATCTGGAGACCAGGGTTCGATTCCCAACTTGGCCATTTAAACCCATGGGTAAGTCACACTCTCTCAGCCTCAGGGAAAGGCAATGGCACACACACATCCCTGAACCCCCATGATAGCTTTGTCTTAGAGTTGCCATAACTCGAGAATGACTTGAAGGCAAACAACAATGGGGATTGCATGTGTCAGGTCCGAGCAAAGGCCAGGCTCTAAGCAGTCTAGGTCAGAGGAAACAGAAGGGGAACTGGGTCTCTTCTGCCGATGGTCACACAAAGAAATACATAGTCCAGAACAGTGGCAGTTTGTGGCTGCCGTGAGGGTGCCCTGGGATTTTCCACACATTAAAGGAGCTATCCAAGGTGCTAGCACCAGCATGGCGTAGTGGTTTGAACATTGGACTATCATTCTGGAGATCAGAGATCGAATCCCTACTTGGCCATGGAAATCCATTGGGTGACCTTGGGCAAATCACACTCTCTCACCCTCAGAGAAAGGCAAAGGCAACCCCTTCTAAGGAAATCTTGCCAACAAAACTCCATGATGGTCGGAAATGACTTGAAGGCAACAACAACAGCAATCCAAGTTGCTAAACCCGATTCCCAAAACTATGAAATTGTCCTGCATTTCAACCTTCAGTCCTGGAGGAATTCCAAAATGTCTTCCATTTTGAGCATGACTAAGAAGCATGAACTGATATTATATTGGTATTTTGAGCTTTTCTTTTGTCATAGCCTAATTTTTTTCTCGAAGGTTCTCCATTTAGTGGTGCCTTGTCCTCTTTTCCCATTATGACCCCTGATCCCCTTGCCTTCAACCCAAGAGAGTCAAGGCCCCATCCAGGCTGAGCTATTTTTGCTTTGCCTCCCTACCATCCCACTTGATGCCAAGGCAGGAAGAGTGAGGCAATACCTTCTCGAAACGGGCTTGGATGAGGTTGGCCTTGTCGACAAGTCGGTGCTTGAAGTCGCTGAGGCAATCCTCCTTGAGACGCAAGGCCAGCCACTTGGTCATCTTCTCCACCCCACCAATCTGGATCAGGAATGGCGCCAGGTAGTCCAGTTCCTGCTCCACTTGGCGCTGGCGTTCCTCTTGCAACAGGCGCTCCTGGAAAAAGGAAAAGGGAGTGCTGAGATCTGCTGGTGGGGCCTTCCTCTGTGTCCAAGAAATGGGAATTATATCTTGAGATGGTGTCCTCTGATATGGCACTTGGTCCATGGAAGTCCCACTCCTTGGAAGCCCAGTGGGTGCCAACGTTGGTCTCTTTTAGATGCCATGTTAAAATGCAACTTTTTATTTAAGGTTTTGAGGACTACTCTCATTATTTCTAGGATCTGGCAGAGGCCCAGGTTATCTCCTGGAGCCCGTGA